GATATGAGGACCGCGTGATTGCGCAATTGTCCATGTCATGCAGTATATATATCGTATATATGTGCAATCTTAATGCATGCGCTTAAGATTCGCTGTGCCCGGAAAGGATGATGTGGTGGAACCGCCCGCCAAGCGCTTGCGAACAAAGACGACCCTGGGACAGCACTAAGATCTCGATTCCTGCTGCCTGCATGCATGCCGTGTACGATTGGGAGTCGCAGGGATTGCTCATATATGCAGATCTGCGATGCACTTAGGTCATCCGAGCTGGCTCGATCGGCATCTTCGCTGGAATCTTGCCCTGGACGTCAGAGAGAGGGGGAGACAGAGAGAGAGAGAGAGAGACAGAGAGACAGAGAGACAGAGAGACAGAGAGACAGAGAGACAGAGAGACAGAGAGACAGAGAGACAGAGAGACAGAGAGACAGAGAGACAGAGAGACAGAGATCAGAGAGAGAGAGCGTGAGAGTGTGAGTGTGAGAGTGAGAGAGATCTGGAGAACGGAGGGGGCTCCATGGGGGGATCGGAGAGAAGGAGAAGGAAAGGAGGAGGAGGAAAAGGAGGGGCGGGGGGGAGGGAGACTGATGGACACGTATGGTCTACTTTTTTCATACAAACATTTTTGCTGCAGGGACCTTAAACCTAAAGCAGTTGTTCAAGAATATGTCTTCCAGAACACGGCTCTCATTCAGGATGGCACGCCTTCAGTCAAGGACAGCAGTGCGTGTGTGCGGAGACATGGTGCTGTGCGAATATATTGTGCGTGGTGCATGCATGCAATATGTACTGGGATGCGTGCAGGAGTCGAGACCAAGTATGATGATATTCCCTGTGCCGGAGTACCAGGAAGCGACAGGGGTCGAGCTCATGTAGGGATCTATAAGCCGTTGTTCGAGTTCTATACCCTCCTTCAGGACGAAATTCAGGATGGGGCGGACCGTGCGCAGCCTGTCAGTATAGACGCACGCAGATTCTAGTATACGTTTCAAGATTCACATGCACCCTATTACATGCTTAATTAAACCATAAACCCTAAACCCTAGACCCTAAACCCTAAACCCTATAAACCCTAGACCCTAAACCCTAAACCCTATATAAGCCCCAAAGCCTATAAACCTAAACCCTATAAGCCCTAAACCCGCAAGGCATGGGTCTGCGGCTTCGGTGACTTCGGTGCGGGAGGACTGTCGTTTGCAATTTTTCGCAACTCGCTGACGACGGGGGTGGGTGCAGTGGATACATATATAATCGCGGGCGGCGCAGGCACCCTCCACAGCCGATGCAGTCGATGAGGTCGAGCGGCTGGGATTGCACTACACGGCACGCGGTTCGAAGTAAAACGCGTGTGCTCGCATGCGTGCGCACGCGCGAACACTAAGGAACGGTGACGATCTTGAATGGTACCAGAACGAGGACGGGGTGTCACGCAGGTCTCTGAAATAAACGTACGTGATTTGTGGCTCGATATTTTCGACGTTGGCCGATGTCTTAATGGCATGCTGTACTGCCCGAGGATGGGGAATGGCAAGATGCAGACGATGCAGCTCACCCGACCTGGAAAAATGAGGAGGACCTATAGCGTGTTAAGGCAGTGTAGTTTCGGAGTGCCTGCATTGGTGTCCGCTAGGAGAAACAATTGATGATCCAAGAGTTGATCGAGCAGATTGAGGATCGAGGGGAACTATAGGCAACCAGTTGCGTGCCCATTAAGTTTAGGGTTCATAGGGTTTAGTGGATCCCAACCCGAACTCGAGAACCCTAAACCCTAAACCCTAAACCCTATACCCTAAACCCTAAACCCTAAACCCTAAGCCCTAAACCCCAAACCCCTAAACGACACGCCATCCTAAATTATAGCCAGGAGCCAGACGAAGCGCACCACCCTACGACCACCATATCTGAGGCTCGGATCTGTGTTGGAAGGTTTAAGTTCGCCAACACACTGTACGTCTGTATAGCTTAAGCACCCACCAGGGTAGATCTCTCTCCATCCAATTAGGAAGCCATTATTGTAATCGTCAAATTGCGTTTTCCCGGCTGCAGGCATCGCGCCCGAGCACATGGACTGGTGCGGACAGCGGCTATGAGGAGGCCGGTGCGGTTTCGGTCTACATCTACTGTGATATATATATATATATATATATATATATAGTTATTATTTTATATTTATATTTATATTTATATTTATCTTTATATTTACATTTATATTTGTATTTAATGTATATTTACATTTATATTTGCATTATTTACATTTATATTTGTATTTATATGTTTATATATGTTTAGAGTTATATCTATATTTATATATGTATATATTGATACATAAACATATATATATATATATGTGTGCTTATATTTATATATTTATCTATTTATATTTAGAGATTAATATACTTATACATATATATATATATATATATGATTATATATTTAGATAGGCTTTGATGGTGGTGCTCGGCCCCTCGCCCACTCAGAAACATACTCGGCTGCAGGGATCCTG